CATAGAAAAAGTAGTTTACAAATAATAAGATAAAGTCTTTAAAGAGAGAATAAAATAATATAAAAAGGATAAGCCACATAAAAATGGAAAATACACAGACAGTCTGGATCCTATATGGTGTCTTGTTGACTTTGAATTTTTGTATTGCTGATGAGTGAATGACAGCTGCTGGGAGACATGGGATTATAAGAGGGACTGCTGAATTAAAGCAGCCTATATATTTTAGGAATGCCTTAACTTTAAAATGGAATTCCAAAAATGTATTGCATTGGAGAAGAGGTTATGCTTTTGATTCCACAGGAAATGAAAGGCTGTGGATTTGTTCAAGGTTAAAGAGACTCAGGTTTGATTGGTGGAGATCTTATGAAAATCTTGACTACAGATATAAAAATAAATAAACCTAGGAAAACTACAAGACAGGCAATGAATATTTTACTTGCTCAAACATAAAACAAACAAACAAAAAAGTCATCTTTGGCTGGCTTGTATACAATAGACAGTCCATACTTGTATTAATGCAGACATGTATGTTACTTTTGAAAGTTTGTGTGTTTTCAGAGCAAGAGGACCAGATGTTGTGGAATATTAGTTAAAGATGTGCTACATTCTTTTATCCTGTGGAATATTTGTTTAATGATGCAAAGATGTGTTGCATTCTTTTATGTTGCATTTGTTTAACTCTGTAAAGCTGTGTTACTTTGCCTGTCTAGCCTGGTTGTTCTAATAAAGGTCTCAATGGCCAATAGCTTGACAGGAAAGAAAATAGGTGGGCCTGATAGACAGAGAGAATAAATAAGAGAGAAGAGGGACAGCAAGAAAAGGAGAAGGAGAGGAGGATGCTAGGGGCCAGCCACCCAGGCACAGAGTAAGAAGGAAAGAAAGGTATATATAATAGAGAAAGGTAAAAGCCCAGAGGCAAAAGGTAGATGGGGTAATTTAAGAAAAGCTAGCTAGAAACAAGCAAAGCTAAGGCAAGGCATTCACAAGTAAGAGTAAATCTCTGTGTATTCATTTGGGAGTTGGGTGGTAGGCCTCTCAAAGAGCAAAGAGTAAAAAAATTAAAAACAAAAAACTACAACCAGACACTAATGAAAACATGTGGCCCAGGTGATCCAGCCTCTCAGAGTGCCTCTGTTGCAGTTTCCTCAGAGTTCTACATGCAGAGCAGCTTCAGCGCTGCTGGCTGAGATGCTCCAGCCTCGCAGACTATTCTAGCCAGGACAGCAGATGAGCCTTGCACTTTCCCATTACACAGAGACTGGACAACAAATGTCACAGCTAGCTCTCCCAGGACTTGACCATTATCCTAATTTTCTCAGGGACCCCCAAAGATGCCATCACCCCAAGACAGCAAGAAGCAGTCTAGAGAACATGATGCCCACATTCCCAAGAGGTGGGCTGGGTGGTTTTTGGTCATTTGGTGGATTTTAGATGTTTGTCATTTGTAGCAGGTAGCCATTCCAGCTTTGGTCTAGAAGTTCCAACCCCCACTGAGGCTTCGGTAACTGTCACGCCTACAAGACAGGGCCAAGGGAGGGCCCTGAAGACCCGAGATCGGGATGTGCCACGTGCTCTTGCTGCTGGGAACCCAGACGCTAGAGGTGGACAGAGCTCTCCAGAGAACACCACGGGACTACGCTACGTCTTTCCCAGAACCCTCAACCTACCTATCCCTTCATTTGTAAGTTACGCCATTAAATAAATCTCCTTTTAACTACATGGAGTGGCCTTAATAATTTCACCAATAGTCATTGTTTTGAGAGGTTGGTTACAATTTGTTATTGGTAATGTCAGGGAAAAAAAAAAACTAAACAAAGGAGATTAGATTTAAGGATCTCTTTCTGAAGGGAAAATGGGGGATGTAGTATAGAAATGATGGGATAAAAGGGTGGATTGTTGAGTCTACTTTTGACCATTAGTCTCAAATATTTTACATTGGTATGGGTTTTTGTATATTGATACAAATTTAAGATCATTTTTGTTAGACTGTATATATGTTTCCATTCTTGCTTAAGGTATTATACCTATACAGCTCATTTGAAAATGTAATATAAAGTTTTAGTCCTTGAAAGCTATTAAGGATAATAATGGAATACAGGTTAATAGGTAGTCATATATAACAATGAAACTCATAGTCATATTAGGTATAGTTTCAAAGCCATACAGAGATGTATTTTAGATAGATAGGTGATCTTCAAACACTTCAAAGACCTACAGAATGCAGCATTTAAAATGTCATAATAGGGAGGAGGAGAGATGGGTCAGTGGTAAGAGCACTGGCTGTTCTTATAGAGGACCCAGGTTCAATTCCTACCACCCACATGGCAGCTCACAACTAACTGTCTCTTAACTCCAGTTCCAGGGGATCCAGACATTCATGCAGGCAAAATACTCATACATGTAAAATAATAAAATAAAAAAATCACAAAAAAGAAAAAATGTTATAGTAACATAAGGCTTTTCATGACAATGAGACATGTCTGCTCTTGACAGCACCAATCTACTTCAAAAAAGGGGTGATGGGCATTGAAGAGTCTCCATATAGTTTGCTTTCTTTGTGGAAAGCTAGTCATTTGGGCAAGAAACTGCCCTTACCTCAACTGCTGACAATATGCTGTCTAAATTGGACAACAGGACATGAAAGAAAGTGACTGCCGAACTTTGTCAAGAGACAAGGTAGGACAGTCCTTCAAAATTCCTGCTTCACAGAAAAGTCTGTTGCTGTGGGATGTCCTGTATGTTATGAATAAATAAAGCACTGATTGGCCAGTAGCAGGAAGGATAGGATAGGTGGGACAAACAGAGAGGAGAGGCTGGGAGATGGAAGTCTGGAAGGGACGCCAGCCTGCCGTCCAGGTGGCAGCATGTAAAGGCAGCAGGTAAAGCCACGGAACACGTGGCAACATATAGATTAACAAAAATGGGCTGAGTATAAGAGTAAGAGCTAGACAACGGTAGGCCTGAGCTAATGGCCGAACAGTTTAAATAATATAAGACTCGGTGTGTTTATTTTATAAGTGGGCTACGGGACTGCCAGGGCTTGGCAGGACCCAGAGAAAAAATTCTAGCTACAGTCTGTCAGACATTCTAGGTGTGTAGGTTGAGTGTGGATGCCCAAACATTACAAAGAAACCTGGGGTGACTATCCAGGCAGCCAGATGTCCCTGTTGTTTCTCATAGTTTTAGAAGTTGTTTGCTCTGCACTTTCTGTTTACTCAGGTAATATTTATCCTTCTCAGGTCTTTGATGGGGTTAAAGACTAGATAGTTATGGTTACAGTTTCCTTTAGTCATGAAAGAAAGTAAGTTAGCCAGGCAGTGGTGGCGTGTGCCTTTAATCCCAGCACTCGGGAGGCAGAGACAGGTGGATCTCTGTGAGTTCGAGGCTAGCCTGGACTACAGAGTGAGTTCCAGGAAAGGCGCAAAGCTACACAGAGAAACCCTGTCTCGAAAAAAAAAAAAAAAAAAAAAAAAAAAAAAAAAAGAGAAAGAAAAAGAAAAAAAGAAAGTAAGTTAGGTACAAAACTTTGGACTCATCAAGAGAGGGTAGATAATGGAGTATTTTCTCTGAATTCACCAAATACAAATGGACTGGACATTGTGAATGTAATTCTTATCTGATAATTATTCCTATTGTTTAGAGTTTATTATGTTAGAGTGAAAAACCTTTCCTTTTTATTTAGATAAAAAGGGGGAAATGTTGTGGACCATTCCTTTACACTGTGTGAAAATGTGTCACTGTGATTGGTTTAATAAAGAGCTGAAGGGCCAATAGTTAGGCAGGAGGAGGTTAGGTGGGACTTCTGGGGACAGAGAAGTCTTGGGGAAGAAGAATGTGGAGTCGCCAGCCAGACACAGAAGAAGCAGGACATGCAGGAAGAGAGGTAAAAACTACCAGCCATGTTACAGCACGTAGATTAATAGAAATGGGTTAATTTAAGTTATAAGAGCTAGTTAGAAACAAGCCTAAGCTAAGGCCGAGCTTTTATAATTAATAAGAAGCCTCTGTGTCCTTATTTGGGGGCTGATGGAACAGAGAAAGCATGCTACATGCGTGGAAATAGACTGGAGACAACAGGGGTTGACCTTGGAAATCTAGCAAAAAGCACTGACTGGAGCCAGACATGATGGCTCACAACTGTAATGCCAAGCAATTGGAAGAGTGAGGCAGGAGGATTGCCATGAATTTGAGGCCAGCCTGGACCACAGAGTGAGATGTATCCAAACAAACAGAAACTGATCCTGACCAGAAGTGGAGAGACAGATTTGAGTGCTAAGTTCAGAAACAGAATCATTCAACTTAGTGTTTTGAGGAATGAGTAGAGTAAGGCTGCCTGCCTAGGCTAGACCAATAGATAGTTAAAGAAGAGCCAATCAGCCGGGCGGTGGTGGCGCACGCCTTTAATCCCAGCACTCGGGAGGCAGAGCCAGGCGGATCTCTGTGAGTTCGAGGCCAGCCTGGTCTCCAAAGCGAGTTCCAGGAAAGGCGCAAAGCTACACAGAGAAACCCTGTTTCGAAAAAAAACAAAAAAAAAAAAAACAAAAAAAAAAAAAGAAGAGCCAATCACAAGGTTGCTAACAACACAATGTTATGCATTCATATGTAGTAATACATATAATGCTTGTAATCATTTTATTTATTATTTTATGTGTATGAGTGTTTGCCTGCATGTATGTGCACTACATGCATGCAGTACCCACAGAGGCCAGAAGAGAGCATCAGATCCCCTGGGACTGGATTACAGACAGTTATGAGCTGTTATGTGGGTGCGGGAACTCAAACCTGGATGCTCTGGAAGGGCAGCTGGTGCTCTTACCCACTGAGCCATTTGCAGCCCATATTATGACTTCCAATGGCAATGGCTCCTTATTGGTACCATGTAAAACACCGTGGGTGCCTTCTTTAAACAGCACACATGACAAAAATAAAGCCATCTAGAGCCTCTGCTGCCTAAGCGTCTTTGCCTCCCCAGCCCTAATCTCCCGTATTCTCACACTCACCCACTCCTCCCAGCGGCCTATCCTCTCTGCCATCTCTACGGCTTCTTTGTGTTCACGCTCTGCTGTCTCAGCAGCCTCCTTGGCCAGGCGTTCCTCCGCAGCCTTTTTCTCTACTTCTGCCTTTTCTTCATCTGTTAAGCCATAATTCCGAGGCTCCCCAATCTCTTTGATGAGCTGTTTGATAGCAAGTCTGTTCTGGGCATCTTCCAGTTTTCCTACATCTTTAAATGCCAGAAGAGGGGAGATCTACACATAGAGTCTAGATATGTCTGTCATTAGAAAAGACATTCTACACGTGTGTGTGAGAAATGGTCACATCAAAGCCTCATTTTCCAGTTGGCAGTGAGGTTCAGAGTTTCATTTCTCAGGGGCAATTACAATGGAGTCTCAGAGTCAGGGGTGGGAGGATTTGGCCTTGGCTCTTACAGTTCTTTTTCGGTTTGCAACAAGGTCTCACTAACGGCCTTAAATAGACTGGAATTCACTATGTAGACGGTTACCAGGCCTCTGCCCTGCATGCTGGGATTACAAGCAAATGACCCTTATGCCCTTTCTAAGTTCTAGAAGCATCATCGATCTGAGCAGATGAATGAGGGAATGGACTATACTATATAGTCTGAATTTGTTTTCATTTTTGTCTGTGTACATGGTATGTGTGTATGTATGCGTGGTATGTGCATATGTATGCATGGTCCATGTGTGGCAGTACACATATGTTGTAGGCGCACAGATAAATGTGTGCACATGCAGGTGGATGCCTGAGGTTGACCTCAGGAGTCTTCCTTAATTGCTCTCCATCTTACTGATCAAGGCATGGTCTCTTGATTTAACCCGGAGCCCACTGATAAGGTCTAGTTTAGCTAGCCTTCTTGCTTAGGTAACCTCCCTTCCACAGCTGGAATTACAGGTGGGTCACCTAACGTAGCATAAATGTCCACATGTGGAGGTAACAAGCCCTTAGCTTTCACATGTGAAATGTGCCTGATGTGCAAAAAGACATGTAAATGGAGGCAAATCCCAATCACTACCCAGAGTGGAAAACAGGAAGACGGGATGCGTAGACTGTCTCCTCAAACTGTGAGGCAAAACAAACCCTTCCTTTCTCACTCCTCAACCCCAGAAGACATGTCAAGATCCAGAAAGCCATGGGGAACTCAGGGGTTCACAAGGTCAAGGGACACCAGATTGCCATGAACTCTAGGATCTGGAGCTACACGTGAGGAAGAAGAGGAAGCTAAGGTGTGTTGCTGCCTATGTGGTGCCTGGGTGCTAAGTTCTGAGGGGTAGTTCTGGGGTGAGTTGACCAAACTTTAAGGCCAGGAGAAGTCTATGTTGAGCATCAGTGCTCAGCAATGAAACAGGGCCAGAACCCTGCCCAAGAAACCCTGGGGAATGCTCAAATCAGCCAGAAGTGAAGCACGCTTCTTTGTAGGAATAGACCAGTTTGATATTCAATCCTGTAACCGTCTCATCTATTTCTGTATAATAATAACATCTCAACACCCTACCCCCGGGTAAAATGGCTGTCCTGGAGAAATCCTGTGGCTTCCTGAGCTGTCAGTTACATTTTATACCCGGGGGTCCTCCCTCAGCCCTACAATCCCAGGCCCTTGTGCATCAGGGTTTGCTGGGATCTTGGAGGTCACTTCATACCAATATGTATTGGGTGGATTTCAATTTCATCAAAGTAGTTGAAGACCGTCTCATCATCGGTGTTGATGTCCCGGTAGTTGCTCAGAGACCGGAGGAATCTGTCCTGGCTGTAGTGAGTTCCCGCCACAATGCTCTCTGGGAGGTTCATGACGCGCTCCTTCAGAAAGTCGTCAGAGGCATCCAGACCACACACAAACTCTGGGAAGAGGGAGAAGGTCTATGATCAGCAAGGCACAGTAGGGATGGATGGCCACGGCTAACCAACACGTCTGGTCGGCAGCTGAGACCTCACGTGGCTGCAAAAGGCCTGATGGGTTGGTTTTCTTTCCTGGAGGAAAAATGCATGCAGACCTCACAATTCCAGAGACTGAAACCCAGTTGGGAGTTTGCAGCATCTATCTTCTTTTCTCTCCCTCCCTCTGGCCTCTCTTCCTACAAAAGCAGCAGATACTGTTAAGTAGAAAATCTACTAACCCCGTGATAGTCACATCTCTAGGCTTTCACCCCTGGATCTGGCATGCTGTGGTAATGATTTCCCCACAGGATACAGGAGGTTGTTGTTGTTCTAGACTTTTGTTTTTCTTTTTTGTTGTTTTCAAGATTTATTTTTGATTTTTAGATATGTGTGTACGAGTGTGTATGTATGCCATGTGTGTGTGGTCATCAAAGAGACCAGATCACTGGATCCGCTACAGCCAGAGTGGGCAACCCAAAGTGGGTGCTAGGAACCAAACTAGGGTCCTCTGAAAGAGCAGCAAGAGTTCTGCCGCTGTGATATACACCGTGGCCAAGGCAACTTCCAGAAGGAAGGGTTTATTTGGGCTTGTGGTTCCAGAGGGGTTAGAGTCCATCACTGCCATGGGCAAGTGGTGAGCATGGCCACTGAAGCAGCCAGCCGAGAGCTCCCATCCTGAACTTCCTGCAATCAGGAAGCAGAGAGAGAACAAATTGGGAAGACATGAGTCTTTAAAAATCTTTTATTATTATTATTATATTATTATTATTACTATTGTAATTATTGATGGGTAAACGGCGCTGGCGGAAAGGTCACGGGCCACAGCCACAACTACCAGAGTTACAGAGAGCTTTATTAGAAAGAAGAGGGGACAGGAGGGAGGAGCCAGGCCTGGTGGGGGAGGGAATCGGGGAGCAGAGCAGAGAGCAGAGAGGAAACAGAACAGAAAAGGTGGGGGTCTGTGTCCTGCTTTTAAGGTGGGGATTGCATGACCATGCAGTGGGTATGCAGTCGCCTCGCCCCGATGATGGAAGACACCAGAACTGGGAAGAGTGAGGGCAAGGATCCTAACAATTATTATTATTATTATCTCCTATTTTACATCCCAACTACAATTTCCCCTACCGTCCCTCCTGCCAGGCTCTCTCCCCCATCTTCCCCTCCCCCAGACTTTTCAAGCCAAACTCCAGCCCCATACTACCTCTAAACAAGCCACACCTCCCCAAATCGTGCCATCAACTTGGGACCAAGTGTTCAAATGCATGAGTCTATGTGGGGCGTTCTCATTCAGACTGCCACCATTCTTAACTGCTGAGCCACCCCTCCAGTGAGGTTTTATCATGCTCAGTGCTTGACACATTTTAAACTGAATTTTATCCAGTTGTTTTGGTGACAGCATAGGCTCTACACGGAATTTGCAAAATGAACTCCTTAGAAGCGTTTCCCAATCCTAAACCAGGCAGCCCTGGTGGTTTTTTGTTTTTTGTTTGTTGGTTTTATTTTTTTTTAAAAAAGCAATTAACTTCATTCATTCTTTTTTTTTTTAATTTTTATTTTATGTACACTGTTTTTCCTGCATGTATCCCAGATCTTGGAATTAGAGACAGCTGTGAGCTGCCACATGGGTGCTGGGAACTGAACCTGGGTCCTCTATTAGAGCCTGTCAGTGCTCTTAACCACTGAGCCATCTCTCCAGCTCCATTCTTTCTTTTTCTTAAGTGTATGTCTACATGAAGGAGATATTTGAGAAAATCCATCTTTTAAGCATTTCATGTTTCTGCCACTTGTTTCAGAGCCCACAATACTCATCCCTGAGCAAGAGAGAAGACTCAGCAGTTAGGAATGCTTATTGGGCCTGGTGTGGTGGTGCACACCTTTAATCCCAGTGCTTGGGAGGCAGAGGTAGGTGGATCTCTGTGAGTTCAAGGCTAGCCTTGGGCTACCTTTTAAGTTCCATGACAACCAGGACTACATGTCATACAGAGACCCGGTCTCAAGAAACAAATAAACACAAACACCCCACACAAACATACACACAAAAAATAGAGGACTTTTTGCTCTTCCAGAGGACCATGGTTCTAGCTCCAGAGTTTGGATCCCAGCACCAAGACTAGACAGCTCAACACTGCTTCTATCTCCAGCTGCCAGAAATCTACACTGCTGAACTCTGAGGGTCCCCAAATACATGTGCACATACCACCCCACCCACACACATACATAGGCATCACTAAAAAGAAAGTAAATCTTAAAAGAATTAATTCTTGCCAGTTGGTGGTGGTGCATGCCTTTAATTCCAGCACTTGGAAGGCAGAGGCAGGTGGATCTCTGTGAGTTCAAGACCAGCCTGGTCTATAAAGCAAGTCCAGAACCAAGTTCCAGGACAGCCAGGGCTGTTAGACATAGAAACTCTCTCTCAAAAAATAAAACAACAAAAACAAAAGGTTGTATGGTGGCAGTGGTGCATGCCTTTAATCCCAGCACTTGAGAGGCAGAGGCAGGCGGATCTCTGTGAGTTTAAGGTCAGCCTGGTCTACAGAGCAAGATCCAGGACAGGCTCCAAAGCTACACAGAGAAACCCTGTCTCAAACAAACAAACAAACAAACAAAAAGGTTATATGGCATAAAGAGATGGAATAACATTTCCCAACTATGTCTTTGGAGAGGCTGAAGAGACGGTTCTGTGGGTGAAGTGCCTGCCGACATACACTGAGTTCACAAGGACTTGGGTTCAATCCCCAGCACCCACAGGAAAAGCCCTGGATGGTGCCATCTACCCGGAAGTACTAGGGAGGTGGAGACAGGAGGATCCCTGGGGTCACTGGTCAGACAGCCTAGCTGAATTGGCAAGTGCCAGGTTTGGTGAGAGACCCTGTCTCACAAAACAAGGTAGATAGCACCTGAAAAATGACACCCAAAGTTGACCTCTACTCTCTCAGATGTGTGTGTACATGTGTATGCCTACACATACCCAAACTTCCATGCTTGTTCTCTCTCCCCTGCTCCTCTCTCTCTCTCTCTACCCCCCCCCCCCACACACTTAAATGTGACCTTTTAGAAATATTTTCAACTCACCAGGTGTAGTTAATCTATCAAAGGGAAACATTTTGCCTCTGATTTCTTCTTCTTCCTCTTCATCTTCCTCTAGTAAAACAAAAATATGTATAGTTACACTTTTTTTTTTTTTTTTTTTTTTTTTTTTTTTTTTTTTTTTTGGTTTTTCGAGACAGGGTTTCTCTGTGTAGCTTTGCGCCTTTTCCTGGAACTCACTTGGTAGCCCAGGCTGGCCTTGAACTCACAGAGATCCGCCTGGCTCTGCCTCCCGAGTGCTGGGATTAAAGGCGTGCGCCACCACCGCCCGGCCTAGTTACACTTTTTAACAAATTACTAGGGTCACAGTAAAAGTCTAAATACTGTTTTTTAATTAGAAAAACATTTTTTGGCCTTTTGAGACAAGGTTCACTTTGTAGCACAGGCTGGATTTGAGTTCGCAGCAATTCTCCTGTCTCTGCTTCTCATGATGTAGCCCAGGCTAGCCTTAAACTTGCAAACTTCCCGTCTCTTCCTCCCCAGTACTGAGATTACAGGCATATACATGCAGACCTTGCTTCAGATGTCAGATAATGTGTATATGTTTATATGTGTGTATACATGTGTGCTGCTGTGTGTAAATGTAGGTGGAAGCCTGAGATATAGGTCAGGAGTCTTCTTCAACCACTCCTTACTTTATTTTGGGGGATAGGGTGTTTCATGGAATGTAGGACTCACTGATTTGGCTAGACTGGCTGGTCATCAGGCTCCAGGGGTCTGTATACCCCCAGTGGTAGGGTTATAGGCACAGGTCAGCACGCCCAGCTGGGTGTTGGGCATTAACCCTAGGTCCTCATGCTTATGTGGCATGGCAGGCACTTTAGGACTGAGCTGTCTCCCCAGCTGGCATATTTTAACTAGCAGTCATTAATGGAAATCAGCCATAAGCAGAATATTGAGCTTAGAAGTCCTCTCATACCCAAACACCTATTGACAGACAAACCAATAAAAACATGACAATGAAATACTATTCTGACTTAAAAAAGAAGGCTGACGGGGCTGGAGAGATGGCTCAGTGGTTAAGGAGCACTGGCTGATCTTACAGAGGACCTGGGCTCAATTTCCAGCACCCAGGTAGCAGCTCACAACTGTCTATAACTCCAGTTCCAGGGGATCTGACATCCTCACACCAATGTGCATAAAAGAAGAAGGCCGACAGCATGGACAAACCTGAGGACACTGTGCTAAGTGAAATATGCCAGTCACAGGAGAACAAGCAGTGTGTGATTCCCCATATAGGAGGGACCAGAAACACTAAAATAAACAGAATAAACCTGTGGCATTGTAGTTGCCTGAGACTGGGGGCAATTTCTAACCAATGGGTGGGAAGTTTAAGTCAAGGAAGACCTAATCCTAGTACTGGGGGAGGTGGAGGCAGGAGGGTCGGAAGTTCAAGATCTTCCTCTGCCACACAGTGAGTTTAAGGCCAGTCTGGGTTACATGAGACCCTGTCACAAAAAAAGAAAAACAGCCGGGCGGTGGTGGCGCACACCTTTAATACCAGCACTCGGAAGGAAGAGGCAGGTGGATCTCTGTGGGTTGAAGGCCAGCCTGGTCTACAGAGTGAGTTCCAGGACAGCCAGGGCTACACAGAGAGACCCTGTCTTCAAAAACCAAAAACCAAAAGAAAGAAAGAAAAACAAACAGACCCAAATAAAATAAAAATCAATTGCTCTCAAGAAGAGTGACACCAGCAGCTACTCTATCTGTAAGTAGGCGTGGTACAGAGCGGAAGATATGCATGTAACTGCTGTAAGGGTGGTCTGAGGTCACCGTCTTGGGCTGTGGATGGGAACAGCAGAGGACAGTGGAGCTGTACTCTATCACGAGATGAAGCAGCTACCATCCACGGACTACTTCCACACTGACAAATGTGTGAGAGGAGTCACATCTAGATCTTAGGACACTGGGGGTTGAGCTTCCTTGTCACAGGAGCCCAAGCTCCCCGGGTCGGATAGAACTTGAACGATGTGCCCTCCGCTAGCTTACTATCCAGGCTAGCGTGCAGAGACTCTAGCTCACACCAAAAGACAAACCAATGAAAGGGTACAGCGTTAAGGTGGTATAGCTTCTGCTCAGTGTTTATGCTACAGTAAAACAAAATACAAAGGGTTCCAGGACGGCTCCACATCCCAGATTCCATCCCCAGAACTTGCAGGGTAGAAGGAGAAAACCTACCTACTCCTGCAGGTGGTTCTCTGACCTCACATGCATGCCATGGCACAATCACCTCACAGTAAATAAATGAATTTAAAAAAAAGACTTAGAGGACAGGCACCTAGAAACGTAAGCCAAGCTGGGCATGCCGGCGGGACTGTCGTCCTAGCACTTGGAGGCATTGGCAGAAGGTTCAGGAGAGCTCGAGGCTACTCACCACTACATAGTGGAGGAGTTCAAAGTCAGCGTGAGCTTCTCAAAACATGAAAAGTAAGGCAGGAGCCGGGCAGTAGAGGCACACTCCTTTAATCCCAGCTCTCGGGAGGCAGAGGCAGGCGGATCTGTTTGAGTTCCAGAACAGCCAAGGCTACACAGAGAACCCCTGTCTTGAAAAACTAAAAACAAACCAAACCAAAACAAACAAACATGCCAGGCGATGGTGGCGCATGCCTTTAATCCCAGCACTCGGGAGGCAGAGCCAGGCGGATCTCTGTGAGTTCAAGGCCAGCCTGGTCTACAGAGTGAGTTCCAGGACAGGCACCAAAACTATAGAGAAACACTGTCTTGAAAAACCAAAAAAAAAAAAAAACAAAAACAAAAAAGTAAGCCATTTATCCAAACAGTAAGAAAGCAAAATAAATAAATAAAAACAAAGTAAAAAAAAAAAAAAAAAACAGATTTAGCTTAGCTTCGCGGTGGTGTTGCATGCCTTTAATCCCAGCACTCAGGAGGCAGAGGCAAACGGATATCTGTGAGTTTGAGGCCAGCCTGGTCTACAAAGCAAGTTCCAGGATAGGCACCAAAACTACACAGAGAAACCCTGTCTCAGAAAACCAAAGGGGGAAAAATAAATCAACACAGATTTAAGAAAACAAGCAAAATACTAAGGTTCCAAGTTTTGAGAGCATAAACACACAGAACCGAGAGAGTACCCACACTTATACACAGAACCAAGAGAGCACCCACACTTACAGTTGAACAGGGAGAGAGCATCCACACTTACGGTTGAACAGGTCTTTTGCTTGATCATAGGTCTTTGGGAAGCCATCCAAAATGTAACCTTGGTTCTTACAAGGCATAGATTTAAGCTTTTCCTTCATAAATCGAATTATATATTGATCTTCTAGCCGACCTGATTTTTAAAAAAATACATACATGTATGTTACTATGTCATAGGATTTACACAGGGTAATGCTCTAAACTCACCTGAGAACTGTTGTGTAGGCAAAAATATTATTGAAGACCCTTTCTTTTGCCCTTGAAAACAAGCCCTGTTGTTTTATTTCTGAGCATGACATGTTTTAGTGCATACTTAAGGTAGCAGTGAACTGGTCTACAAGAAAGCAAGTGCAGGCGGTACCACCCACAGCTGGGAAACCTGTGATACAACTTGTGGGGAAGCTGAGGGAGTGGACCAGCATCAGGTCCTGCCTACTTGAAAGATTTCCTCTGGTTTTACTTTTATTTTTAATATATGTACATGTGTGCGTGCATGCGTGTGTGTGTGTGTGTGTGTGTGTGTGTGTGTGTGTGTGTGTGTGTGTGAGAGAGAGAGAGAGAGAGAGAGAGAGAGAGAGAGAGAGAGAGAGAGAGAGAGAGAGAGAGAGAGAGTGCATGTCAAACGTATGCAGGTGTCCCTTGAGGACAGAAGAAAGTGTTGGGTCCCCTGGAGCTAGAGTTATACAGGTGGTTGTAAGCTGCCCAATGTCCCGGGAGCCTCTTCAAGAGCAGCATGTACTCTAAAATGCTGAGCCATCTCTCCAGCCCTCTTCTTTTTTAAAAAATTATTGTTACTATTATTGTTATTTTACTTATTTAGTGTGTGTGTGTGAGGATACACACACGTCATGTGGTGCATGTTGAGGTCAAAGGACAGTTTGTGGCAGTCAGTTCTCTCCTACTAGCACACGGGTCCTAGGGGAGGTAGAAATCAGTTTGCCAGGCTCGGCAGCAGGTGCCTTTACCCCGAGACATCCCACTGGCCATCAGTTCTATTTTTAAGTTACACCTTAATACATAGTAATAAATACTTCTGTTGAGTGAGACAGTATTCAAGTATTTTGCTGGCAGGGCGGTGCTGGCACACTCCTTTAATCCCAGCACTCGGGAGGCAGAGGCAGGTAGATCTCTGTGAGTTCGAGGCCAGCCTGGTCTACAGAGCCAGTTCCAGAACAGCCAAGGCTACATAGAGAAACCCTGTCTTGAAAAACAAAAAGAAAAAGAAACAAAAGAAAGAGAGAGAGAGACAGAGAGAGAGAGAGAGAGAGAGAGAGAGAGAGAGAGAGAGAGAGAGAGAGAGAGAGAGAACATACTTACATACTCAGGCTGAGGCTGTAACTCAGTAGTAGGGCATGTGTTCAGTATGGGCAAGGCCCTCGGTTTTACAATACCCTCACCTTACCCCTCCCCAACAAAAGTAGGTGCTCAATAAATATTTGCTAGATCTGAACAGCAAACTCAAGCTGACTTTCAAAGGCTTTTGAAAAGGGCCACAGCAGAGCTTAAGGGCTCAGCACCTACCTGCCTGGCATAAACTGAGGAAGACCCTGGGTTTAGCCTCAGAACCCTGAATACTAATGAATAAAATTAGCATGTAAGGGAGAAGGAAGCTGCGGTCAGAACGCACTCACCCCTACCCCCACACCCTCTTCTCCAGGTCACATTTCTGACCGATGCCCTTTGGCCAGTTCTTTCTTTAGACCCAACCCAGAGTTCCTGGAAATGGCTAGGTAGGAACGATTGAGAGGGAGTCTTTGCTCTACAGTGGGAAATGACAGTGTGCGGCAGCTCCTCCACAGCCAGCTACCATCCACAGCTGTGGTCACGTTCAGGCACAGCCTGTCTTACAAGGGCAGCGTGAGTCTGGCAAGCCCCCAAAGACATTCCCAGGGCACATACTGCACCTTCAGCTTATTGAGGAGTCTAGGATGTAAAACAAATAGCTTGGGGCCACGTGTTAGGTCTCAAACCCAGGACAAACTAACTGAGGTGTCTATTTAATATAGCCAAGCAGACCTGGCCTCCTGGTTCTCCCAGCATCCCTCACTCCCTACCTGTTACAGGGTCTGGCTGGCATGCCTCACACCCTACCCTGAACTCTCCAGCCCAGGAGCTAGGCTGCTCTTTTCCCAGTTGCCCTCCACTGTATAATCCAGCCATTTTGGATTATACTGGTACCTGGTCCTTTCATTCACCCTTTACTCTCCTAGTCTCCTGGCTCTCCCCTCCCCCATCTCCTCACATGGCTAGGCTCACAGTCATGTTCACTCTGGACTCTCCCAGATGTCTCTGCCTCTGGCTATGCTCTTCCTTTTATCTACAATAAGCCTTCTCCTCTACCATACCTGCGAGCAGTCATGTCCTTCCAATCTAGGCTACACAGTGAGTTCCTTGCCAGCCTGGACTACACACACACACACACATACACACACACACACACACACACACATATCAAAACCCATGACTCAAAAAAATCTAAGTAGGAATGAGGCTATAGTCTAAGTGATAGCGTGTTTATGCAGCATACACTAGACTCCAGGTTTGATCCCCAGCACCACATACAGGGCATGATGGTGATCCTAGCACTCAAGAGTGAGGGGGCGGGAGGATCAGATTTTGAGGTCATCCTTTACCTCGTAGCCAGTTTGAGGCCAGTCTTGTTTTACAGGAGACCCTGCCTCATAATGAACCAACAAACAAAATATATAAAAACAAAGAAAACCAAAACACTCTCCTTTCTTCTACTTTTCAGCGACACACAGGTCACTAGGTAGTAAAGATTCAGAAAATCTTGTCCTTCAGAGACTTAAACGAACAAAAGAGGATAAAGCTTTAGCATAACCAAATTCCTCCTAATGATCAACACAACCTTCCTGGAAGGTTTGTAGTGGTACAAAGAAATAAGTAAAGAAATAAACGCAAACTTCAAAAATCAAAGGACTTACTAACAGTTGAACATGAACTTTATTTAAGCAGTTGGTTTTCATTTTCTAGAGGGTATATTTATTTATTTATTTCTATTTGGTATGTATGAAAGTGTGTGCATGTATAAGTGTGTGGGAACGCATGCGTGCTGGTGGGCGTACCTGTGCATACAGAGTCCAGAGGAGGATGTAGGCGTCCTGCTCTGTCACTCTCCGCCTGATTCCCTTGAGACGGTCAGCAAGCTCCAGCCACCTTCCTGTCTCCACCCTCAATTCCCTCCCCCTGGGGTCACAGATATCTAGCCGAGAACCTCACCTACTTGCCTGGTTTGTTTTAAACACGAAGGGTTGCCATTACCTTCTACAGAGTCAAAAGAGAGGTGTGTCCAGGAAGTGAGAATGGGGTTCCTGTAGCTTTTTTGGTCCTTGTGGAATAACAGAGGCATGGCCAGTGCAGCAGTTTGAATGAGAAATGTCCCCCACAGGCATGGATGTCTGAACCCCTGGTCCCCAGTTGGTGGCGCTGTTTGGGAGGTTGTGGCGCCTTTCGGAGGTGCAGCCTTGCTGGAGGGTATGGATGGCTGGAGGGTGGGCTTTGGGTGTTTATAGTCTCACCTCACTCCCTGCTCTCCCTCTGCATCATGCTTGGATTTGAAGATATAAACTCTCCACTTCCTGCTTGCTGCCATGCTTCCCCACCATGATGGAACCGTAAATCCAAGGAAGTTATAAATTGCCTTGGAGCCTGGCAGTGGTGGCGCACGCCTTTAATCCCAGCACTCAGGAGGCAGAGGCAGGCGGCTCTCTGTGAGTTCGAGGCCAGCCTGGGCTACAGAGTGAGTTCCAGGAAAGGCGCAAACCTACAGAGAAACCCTGTCTCGAAAAACAAAAACAAACAAACAAACAAAAAAAAAGTTGCCTTGGTCATGGTGTCTCATCCCAGCAACAGAAAAGTGATACAGAGACGTACACTAAGGGATTGCCTAAGTGTCTTTCTCTAGACAACTAGGACCTCCCTAGAGATAACTCATGGCCTTTGTCAATGTTGAACTCTATCTGAGACAGGGGACTGCTCCTTTGTGTTTATTTGTTCATGGATAAACGTTACTATGTACACGTGAGGGTCACAGAACAGTGCATGGGAGGCGTGCAGGAAATAGGACGGTTACCACTGAGGAGCAGATGAACGTGTCTCTCATCTCAGATAAAACAAAACCAAAAATAACACTTATTTTGGAGGCTGGAGAGATGTTCACCAGTTAAGAGTACTGGCTGCTCTTCCAGAGAGCCCTGGTTTTTAATTCCCAGCACCCATATAGCAATGCACAACCATCTGTAACTTGCATATATGTTTTTTTTTTTTATTTTATGTGTATGGGTGTTTTGGCCTGTGTGTATGTGTACCACACATGTGCTTGGTGCCTGTGGAGGTCAGAAGAAGGTGTCAGATCCCCTGGAGCCAGAGTTATGGATGGTTGTGAGCCACAATGTGGGTGCTGGGAATTGAACCCAGCAAGAGCAGTCAGTGCTCTTAACCATTGAACCACCACTCAGTCCCCTCATTTTGTGTCTTTTGCATCACCTCTCCCACCTATCTCCATCCTCTCCTCTCTTCATCTTCTATATTTTTCCCTTTGTATTTGACTTATTTATTTATTTATTTATTTATTTTATTTTTTAATTTATTTTGGTTTTTCAAGACAGGGTTTCTCAGCCGGGCAGTGGCGGCACACGCCTTTAATCCCAGCACTTGGGAGGCACAGGCAGGCGGATCTCTGTGAGTTTGAGGCCAGCCTGGTCTACAGAGTGAGTTCCAAGAAAGGCGCAAAGCTACACAGAGAAACCCTGTCTCGAAAAACAAAACAAAACAAAAAGACAGGGTTTCTCTGTGTGATACCTCTGGCTGTCCTGGAACTAGCTTTGTAGACCAGGCTGGCCTCAAACTCAGAGATCTGCCTGCCTCTGCCTGCCTCTGCCTCCTTAGTGTTGGGATTAAAGGCATGCACTATCGCACCCCCACTTTCCCCTTATATTTTGAGACAGGATCTCTCACTGAACCTGGAGGTCCCTGATTTGGGTAGCTGGCTGGCCAGTCAGCTCTAAGGACCCATCTGTCACCAGCCTCCGGTGCTGGGGTTACAGACGTGTGCCACGAGTCTGAGTTCAGGTCCGCACATTTGTGCAGCAGGCAGCTGTACCACCCAAGCCG